ACTTTCACCCTACTAGTTACCTTACCCACTCGACGTCTTATGGTGAATTCTATTATTAGGTGATCACTGTCCCCCAGATGGCTACCGATCTGTAGGTCCCCTACCATGTCATCCCCCGTTGCCAATACCAGATCCAGTAAGGCATTCCCCCTAGTGGGACCATGTACCTCCTGTGTCAGGTGGAGGTCCTGTACACAGGTTAGAAACCTGCGTGAGCGGTGGGACTTTGCCGTCTGCATCTCCCAGCAGATGTCTGGGTAGTTTAGGTCCCCCATGACTACCGCCTCTTTAGCTTTTATGGTCTCGAAGAGCTGCCTCAGGAGCCCCAAATCTATTTCTTCCCCTTGGTGTTTCGGTCTGTAGCAGACCCCTACCACCAAATCCCTTTCTCCTTGCCCCCCATGTAGCCTAACCCACAATCCTTCTACTTCCTCGTCCTTTAACAGTGTTTAACAGTGTTATAGGTTTATTAAATTCACATGGGTCTAGAAGCAGAGCTTAACTTTTTCAGTCTGTCTTGCATTTTCAGTTCTTCCCCACTTGTCCTCATGATTGGGGGGACTTCCTTGGACCCCGCTTGTTCTAACAGTAATTCAGAATAGAAGTTGCATTGGAATCCAAGGGATTTTATTCTGACTGGATATCTTGAGAGGAGATCCCCAGCTTTCTGTTGTGGATAGGGGGCAGCACAGGCATGTGTGAATAAAGGACATGAGGTGAAAAAAGGACTGCTCCTAATATATCTCTTGCCTTTCCTCTTAGCTTGATAAACTCAAGAGAGAATGTAAATCCAAAAAGTCTTGTGGTGAAGAGAGAGACAGAAGGTTTACAAAGGGAACTAGTGAGGTGAGAGTGACAACAACTGTGACTACAAGGGGCAAGGATGCTGGTCCCATCAAAGTAAAACCTGGAGAAAAAAGCCGGAAAAACCTACAGCTGTTGCGAGACATGCAGAGTATACAGACTTCACTTCAGAAAGATGATATCAGCTGGGACTACTGACTTCTGTACTGCAGGAGCATTTTTTTTTTTTTTTTTTGTCTCCACCCATCTAGATTTTTTTTTTTTTTTGTTCCAGGTCTAAAGCAACTGCCTTTTTCTAATGTGTGAAAGAGACTACTGCATACTAAGTGCACTTTTTAAATTGTAAACCCCCCTCACTCTTCCATCTCTAGGTGCGATCGTGTTCTGGTCTTAAGCCAAACAATGTACATAAAGAACAAGCTTCACTCTTAAAAGTATCCCTGCTGATAGCCCTTTGCTGCTCCCTTTTCCTGCTTACCATCTGCAGGTTGTCTTTATTTCACTGTTTTCTTGGGGTGGCTTGACTAAAAGGCCTACCTGATCTTACAGCTTACACTGTTGAAATTTTACACAGGTAGGTGTTTAAAGACGTATCACATGAAAACAAAACTTGGACATGAGTTTAAAAAGCATTAGCAATTCTGTGTGTGTGCAGCTGCTGTTATAGGCTTTGGTGTTAGTGTTTTGCTTTCTTCAGAAAACCCACCCTGTCCTTGTTCTGCAGCATTCCACTACCCACTTCTAACTGTTCTGGATGCTTTAACATCCACAAAGAAGGAACAGTCATCATTTTTTCCAGTTGGTTTTCCTTTAACAACTAAGAGTAATGATATTTAAGACCAAAGGGAGTAAGCTGTCTTCAGAAATAGCTTCCATTTTAAGCATGCCCACAGGATGTCAAGATAAAACTCATTACTGGCATATTCCTTTAGACGGTAAAGGGCTAAGAGAAGCATTGAGATATTTTAAAGTGCAAGTGCCTCAATCATGCCAGGCAGCTTGCTTTTAACTTGAATTCTTCATTTTGGCTGTGTGAATGTTGTCATACAAACATGAAGGTAAAATGACTTGCCTATCTAAGTGAATTATTTATTATGTTAATAATGTACAGTTTCCTATTCATGGAATATACAGAAGACTGATTACCTCTATAAAGTTATGAAGTTATGATTGGAAGCCAATAAAGCCAACCTGCTGAAGTGGACCAGTAGGCATTTCTTTTAAGTCTGAAGTTCTGAGGTGCCTGGTTTTTGTGTTACAAACAGCATATGAGCGTGTGTGTGTGTGTGTGTGTGCATCTTCCCCTAGTTCAGACCAGGACAAGCCTGGGGGCACTTTGCTTGCAGATACCCTCCAGCCATGCTGCAGGCCTTGGCCTGGTAACGGGTCTCAAGACTACCCTCAGAGGGTAGACAAGGTATGAATGGGCCTGGCCATGGCTTTGTTTCTGTGGTGTATACATTTTCAGGGGCCTGATTCAGAAGGCACACACTGAACATGCTCAAGATCTGCACCCAACACAGGCACAAGGAGGTGGTAGTGCCTGTAGCAGTGGTCTAAAAACTTTCCTGCATGGTTGAAAGAGAGGTATAAAACTAGAAGTTGAAGTATTTGAATGTAAGTTTCTCCAATGGCCTCCACATTTGAGCCACTAAATATTTCATAGCTATTATATGTAAATCAAAATGAACAAGCTAGTTACAACTAGACAAGAACACTTAGATGTAAAAACTATCTTACTAGAATAGTTCAAAGGGTGCAACAATTCCAGAACTAGGGAGCTTGAATATTACAAGCATCTGTAAGAATAAGAGGGAGAAGAGAAACTTCCACATAAGTTTCAAGGCATCAAAAATTGTTACTTTACTATTAGGGCTAAAAGACAGCATTAAAGTTTTCTAAATAAATACATTTGGAAGCAAGGTAAAGAAATAACTTACCTGTTCACTGATTTTATTTTATTTTTGTTAAGGAAAAAGTCCTCCACTTTAAGAAACAAGAATTCTTCCCTACTGAATTTGCACGGTGAGGGTATTGCTACATAAGGATCATCTTATACTAGAGACTGGAAGAGTATGTCCTTATGAACAATGAACTGAACACAGCCTTCTCATCCAGAATCTGTTTTGATTTTTTGCAACACAGAAATCAAAGTTTAGGCAAAACTTTTTAAAGACTTAGAGAGCCAGGTTTATAAAACTCAAGTGTGCTGTTCACTTCATAGCGTGGCTTGTCTATGTAGATCTGTTGATAGTGACAGTAGAAAGTAGTGGCGAAGAGAAAAGATAGAGGCTTCTGACGGAAGGTAGACTCTCTTTCAAGAAGTCCACCTTTTCAGTGATGTGAGAGCAGCTGACTCCCAGTCAGCCAAACTTTTTTTTAACTGCCCAAACAAAAACATTCTGCTGTGCATGCTTCTCTCTGTGAGAGGTGAAAGAATACATGTGACAGGTGTGTAGCTGCTTGATGGACTAATGGAAGAGCTCAGACAGTACAGTACCAAAACTGAAGTCTCAGTAGTGAGCCTCTTGCTTACTATGGAAATGAGATGTGGGGGCAAAGTAACCCCCCACAACCCGATGCAAATATATGGACCTTTATTGAGAAGTCCCTATCACTTATATGGAAAGATGCTCTGGAAAATTCACTGTTTGCAAGTAACTACAAAAAATAACAAGTCTTCACTTCTGTTTTCTGCAATGAAATTATGCATTACAGTTGATTTTGGATAAAGTTTAATTGACCACTGTGCAGGTAACAAGACTCTTTAAATACACTATACTCTCCCTCTCTCAGAACAAAACACATTTAAGCAAGTGCTAAAATATTACTCTAGCAGACTAAACAACTCAGCCAACTGACCATTCACTTTACAGTGTGATTGTAATACATGTGGAAGGTTTTCTTTGGTCAATATATTTGCTGTCATCAGTAAACAGAAAAATAAAATACAGCATGAATTATGAACACATCACCATGATCCTGCACCAAAACATTAAATAACAGTTTACACTTACCTAAGCAAAATGAAACAACCAATTCCAGTATATGTTGCATTTGCCATCTCTTGGGTATGAGGCATGGGAAAGAAATAGCTGCAGAAACTACAGGGGAGTTGTTTCCTGCCCCATCCTTTATAAAAGTGGTTTAAGATTAGTTTAATGGAATTAACTGATGTAAATAATACACGATATCTAAAGATAAACTCTTCCCTAAAAAGGACAACTTGAGGGATAGTGGTAATTCATCTATTCCCATACCCTCCTGGTTGAAGATGCCTTTCCTGTAGATAAGGTATCACTTTGCTTTATTAGGAATATATCTTAAAAAGAAGCTGACATTGATTTAAGCTCTTGCATACCTCCAGACAAAAGCAAAGCCTAAATACATGGTCCAACTTCCTATGTGATGGGAAAGAACAAATTAGTCAATAGGAAACATTCTGTATTTAGGGTTCTCTTGGAATTTCATATGTTGGCAACATTTCAGTTTTGACATTTTTGCATGTAAACTGACACAGAAGTCCAATCGTTCAACACAGCTGCAGTCCAGGCTTTGAAACCGATAAGAAGTCTGCTTATTCCCTCTTTAGTCTGTATCTGTTCCAGCAAAATGGAGACTTGTCAGACTTCTCCTGTGTAGACACTTTTCCTATATAAATGTTCCTTCCAATGCACTGTCCCTCACTGAAAGCAAAGTAGTTTCTAACAGATATGTGAACAAGAGCTCTGCATCTTGTTTTTGGTGCAATTTGTAGTTTTATAGTAATCTAGCCACTAAGAAAACTAATTGCATAGGGGGCATGATTTTGCTTAAGTTTCCATTAATGTTACAGTACTAATAAATAACCCTGGAGAGAAATATAATAAATAAATCGGCATCTCCTAGACACCAGGTTTTAACTTCAGAGGGTCTCCTGCTAGAAAAGCTGCCCTTATATCATGGTCCTGGAAAGTACTTAATAGAAAAGTCATTATACAACTGTCTGCACAGGAGCCACACATTGGGCAGGAGAGCCAGCTCTCTCTGAGGAGGAGGTTGATCGGTTAGTTATTTCTCTCTGGAGCTCCTCCACCTTCTTCTGCAGCTCGGCCCGCTTTGCAAGAAGTTCTTTGTATCGATTGTGAACAGGCTCCTGCAATACAAAAGAGCCTGAGCCTGAGTGATGGCAGAATGCAGCTCAGACCAAAGATGCTCTTTCCCCACTTTTAGACTGTATATGGACTATGTAATCCCCTCTGTTGATCCTTGCCACCTAGTGACCAAGCCCAGTAACAGCAGTCCATACCCTTCAGCTATGTTGGGATAAGCTGTACATCCGTCCATTATGTACACTGGCATACTTTTAAATCGATGTACAATACTGTTGTAAAATTACCACAGGGTGTGTGATTTCCATACACCAAGCTTGCAATGTGAAGTGCTTACTGGCTTTAATGGAAATTTTAATAATGGTGAAAACCATTAGCTAAAAGCCATCAGTGGGAATTTCACAAGCTGACATCTGCAGAAGTATCACGGAGAAGATGCCTATGGCACCCAAATCTCTGCTTTCAGATTATTTACCTGGGGACTTAATTTTAGGCATCTAATTTTAAAAGTAGCCAGGATTTTCAATAGACTGCTGCAACAGACTGGAAACAATTCTTAAAGTTTTCAGGTTTGTTTGTTTTTTAAATACAAATGCAAGCTAAAACAGCTCCAGCTGGATACTACCACATATTTGTCAACAGCCAAGTCTACAGGCTCCTTAGTAATGTCAGTGAGAGACAACTTCTAACACATTAAACGAAAAACCTGTTCACCTGTGGTTTCATCCTTGGATTCCATCTGATGTAATATCCCACCCAAAGCTCTAGATGGCGCATGCTGGCTACTGGATACAACACATGGTTGGTGTAGCTCACGTACAAGGGGTTTGTAAAGTCTTCAAGCTGGCTATTGATGTAGGACCACAGTGAGACAGTCTTTTTTGGAAGGCTCTGCAGGGGGGGGGAAATAAAAGCTTCATTTTACATGCGCAGCCATATGAGCTCTAGCATTTATCTACACAGCTTGAGTATTTATACCACCATATGCATATGTTCGCCATTAATACAAATCTGGCTGCCTTTCCCTAGCTAAAAAAAAATACACTTCATCGTTTTGAAGTGGTTTCTGTAATGCAAGCACAGGCAGACAGGCATACACACATTCTGGCATGAAAACGCCCTTTATTCCCATCTTATCTTTATTCCCATCTCAAGCCCCTGCACAAATCAAAATTCCCCCTCAGCACAAGTGGAAGCCCCCATCCAGAGTGGAGCTGGGCATCTACAGTGGAAATGCTGAAGGCTGAGATGGGGGGAGAAGGCTGCTCATTACTGATCATTACTTCTGCTTAGCTTCACCTCTTTGAAGGGCTCCTAGAAAGGCACTGGTGCATTTATGTGCACAGAAAAAAAAAAGAAAGCCCTGGATTTAGGCTTTGATTTAAGTGAAGTAAATGTGAGTAGCTCCTTCCAAATCGATGGAAATACACGTGTTTAAGTGCTTTTTTACACTAGGGCCTTAAAGAGACAATGGATTGCATGTGCATGCTGCTTTGGAATGACACGTTTCACCTCTGCACACCCATCAGTCATGTGTAGCACACTGACCAGGTATTCTACCACCACTAAACCCTACACACAGCAGTTCTCTGCTACACAGTCATTAACAGCCCTTAGCCCTACAGCCTCTGCAGATACCACTGCTGCTGGTGAATTACCCACTCCTAGCCTAGAGCCAGCCTGTGGGCACTATAAGGGTATTTTCTACTTTAACAAACTGTTTTAATTCATTTCAACCTACACAGAATCCCTGCATTTATGTTTTAGGTTTTGTTCCTGCATGAAGCCCTGATCATGTTGGCCAGATGAGGGGGGCTAAATCCTCCTTGATGGCTGGCAGTTCCAGCTCATCCAAGGTGAAATAAAAAGAGCACATCTGAAAACCTGTAATGTCCTTGGTGTTAACCAGGTGTGCAGTATGACAGTACGTGCTTCCTGATTTCTATATAGTGAAAATGGTCTCAAGTGACAACTTAAAGGACTAGAGGAAAAAAGTGATCAGGAGAAGCATGTGTCTAACCAAAGTCAAACAAAAGTACTCTTCCACCCACCTAGAATATGTAAGGTGACCAATGAAAGCAGCAGGAAGTGGCTGAAGGCAGCTGTCTGCACTACAGGGAGGGAAACGTGCACTGTTCTGAAGCACAGAAGTTAAGTTAGAACAATCAGCATTACTTTTTGCAGGTAGAGGGAATCCTGCATATCAGCTGTTTTGCAAGAAAGTCTCTTAGGTCCAAAACCACTGAAGTCACTGGGAACTGGTAAGCTTTCATTAGCCCTTTTAAAGAATACAAGTACAGTGTGTTCACCTGGGGAAAGAACAAGGCTTACCTCTTTCACCCTCTGCTGCTCACTGCTACACAGGAATGTTCCAAACAAACAACTGTACAGGTGGTCCAGAATGGTTATCAGGAAGTACTCGTTGAATTCAAAGGCTGTAGGAAACTTCCAGCACAACCAAAAAGAGAAGTTTTTTCTTAAACAATTCATTACTTGTTGCAAATGAACATAACGCGTCTGTACCGATTGATAGCATTAATGAGCTGACTTTATACCCACTCTGCACTGGATTATCTGTCTGTTTCTTCAGTTATATTCCTACTTTCCAGAAGCAAGCACCCCTTAAAAATATGCTTGACATGCAAGAAGGAATTTTCTGCAGCAGCCAGCGGCCTGAAGGATCTGATTACTGTTTATGCACAACCAATATTGCTTCAACTGAAGTTTGCTCTATTATGCCTGCTGCTAATGCCACACCATGAAGTGAGATTGAATGAGACGTGGCAGAGGGTAGGAAGCCTCAGGTGATTATTGGAAATAATCCCCACATCCAATAGAGAATTAGGATGAAAGCCATGCTACTAGTTCACAGGTCAGGAATAGGTTACAGGACTCTAGGCTTTGACATCATGTCTTGACACCCAGTGGAACACGTAGGTGCTCCTGTAACACAGTTAGCCATGGCAAATGTCCTGATATCCCAATGCTCCAGGGCTATTTTTCTTTCTTTTTTTGTTTTAAAAAGTCTCCCACTTGTTTTATCACAATTTTTCAAAAATGGAATCATTCGAAGGGGGAAGACACACAGCACAATCATTGCAGAGGAACTTCCCCCATATTTTTATCCACAGTAAATTTGTTCCATTGTTCAATAGGACACGTGGGCCCGCTCTCCCAAACTGTGGGCCCACTGTAAGCCCTTTACAGCACTGGGTCAGTAGGTGGCAAGGGAACCAGTTCATACAGAACAGGATGAACCTGACACTGGGAGCACACATTACTACTTAAAAGTTACTGTATAAAAAGTTATTAGTTCAAAAGGTAGCTTTACCCAGGATTCAAGTGATTTATTGCAGAATAGGGCTGTGCATCATGTCACAAAGTCAATTTACTAGGGAACAGAAATTTTGTAGGTCTGCACCTGCTCACTAGCTAGGAGAAAATGTGGAAAAGGTATGAAAATAATATTTTAGAAGGTTTTTCAAGTCATGGCAGAGCAATGCAGTAATGAACACAAGCCAGGTATGGTGCTGGAGGGTGGTCTGAATCATGGCAGGGTTATAAGCTGTGGAGGGTGAAAACTGGAGCTCTTTGAAGGGATGTGGGATGGGTACAGGGCTGAGTGGACACAGAGATATGCAGAGAGCCCTCAGCTCCAGTAGTCAGCCTGTCCACAGCAGGTGTAGTCCTAATTCTCCTTATCCCCGTTCCCTTCTTGGCTACTAAGCCCAGGTCCCATGGCTAAAAGGTCTAAGGAGTCTCTCCTGCCTCTGATCTGCTGCAAGTTAGTATATCCCAAACACCCATTCCTCAACAGTAGCTGGATTACATAAGAGTAAGAGTAAACCATGTGGAGGATGGATTACCAATTCCTAGGACAGGAGCATCCTGCCTTCCTCCTATTCCACTTTGAAAAGCACCCCAAAGTTACAAGCCCACCAACATTCATTCTGACTTCAAATCATTATAGGACTATTTTTTTTCAATTAAGTGTCTGCCCAGGGCTCTGTGAATTTAGAATTACAACCCAGAGGTCGCGGTAGAGGCGCCAAATGCAGAGCAGCCATAGAGGCAGAGTCCTTCTCAGAGCCCTAAACTCGTAAGCTCTCAGCTCCAATAGTCAGCCTGTCCATAGCAGGTTTGGAGTATCCCAAGGGAGTTTTATTGGCTCTGCCTGTGCTGAAGCTGCTCTGCGACTAACGGAACTTAGTTTCAACACTGTTTATCACATCAGGATCAATACGCTTGCTTTCAAAACTCACTGAAATGAAACAAAACCAGCTGTCTGGAGCCCTTCTCCTCACCTGCTGCTCTGAAAAAGGGAGTAAAATTCTAAAGCAACTCAGTGACACGGGTGCCTAAGTGCTCCTAAAACTCACTGGCATTTTGTGAACCAGGCTCCTAATTCATTTTGACACTCCAAAGTTTTACCTAGACTGAAGTAAAGCCAAAACAGATAAGCCAAAGGGATTGTTGTATTTTCATTTAAAACCAGAGCAAGTTCACTGGCTAGATACACTGTTCCAAATCACATGTATAAAGGCTTTCAAAACACATGTGCAGCCCAGAAATTTACCTGTCTTGTCATTTGCCAGACACAGTCAATGAACTGGAGGAAAACAGGAGATCTGTCAGCATCTGCATGATTCTTATCTCCATGGCCAATTCTCTGATACAGGGAGGACAAAAAAAGACACTGAATTAGTATACAGCTTCTAAGGTAAACCGCTTGGGTGTTTTGTACCTGGGTACTAATGCAGTAGCCTGCAACAACTTGTATGGTTTCAAAATGTCCTGATTTTACCATGTTTATATTAGGAGGGGAAGGCACTCAGGGGAGCTTATTCCTTTGGTTTCTAAAGTGCAATCCGTTCCTGGGACCTTTTCATGTGGAATGCACTTTATACAGAAATTAAAGCAAAAAATGACTGAAGAGAGGTTTCCAATGTTATTTTGGCATCAACTGTATTTTACAGCTATGGCTCAGAAGACCCCCCAAAAGTCTAGATATTTGTTCCTTTCAGTTATGCATGTCATCTTAGCTACTACAGAACAGGATAAAAAACTTGAGCACTACAGGTAAGCCCAGCTTCTAGCAATAACTATCACATAAGCACTTCACAGCTTCCAAGCACTGTACCAATACTAACTCATCATCACTACCCCCTGGCAGATTTTTATTCATAGATTTCATAGACATTAGGGCTGGAAGGGACCTCGGAAGGTCATCAAGTCCAGCCCCCTACCCCAGGGGCAGGAAGTCAGCTGGGGTCACAGGATCCAGCAAGATAAACGTCCAATTGACTCTTAAAGGAATCCAGAGTAGGGGCTTGCACCACCTCTGGAGGGAGTCTGTTTCAGGCCTTCGGGGCTCAGACAGTAAAGAAGTTCTTCCTTATGTCCAGCCTGAAACGGCCTTGGAGGAGTTTGTGACCATTTGACCTTGCCATCCCATGGGGCGCTCTGGTGAACAGACGTTCCCCCCAGATCCTGATGTACACCCCTTATAGGCAGGCACCAGGTCACCCCTGAGCCTGCAGTTTTCCAGGCTGAAGAGTCCCAGAGCTCTCAGCCTCTCATCATAAGGCCTGTTTTCCTGACCACTGATCATGCGCGTGGCTTTCCTCCGCACTCTCTCAAGCGTATCCACATCCGTTTTAAATTGTGGAGCGCAGAATTGGATACAGTACTCCAGCTGCGGCCTCACCAAGGCCGAGTACAATGGGAGGATGACATCCTGGGATTTGCTGGAGAAGCATCTATAGATGCAAGTCAGAGTTTTGCTCGTTTTGCTGGCTGCAACATCACATTGGTGGCTCATATTCATCTTGTGGTCAATCATGACCCCCAAGTCCCTTTCAGCTGTGGTGCTAGCCAGCATAGCTCTGCCAAGCCTATAAGCATGCTGCAGGTTTTTCTTCTGAAGGTGGAGTACCTTGCATTTTTCAGAGTTGAAGGCCATCAGGTTTTCGTCCGCCCATTTTCCGAGCCTGTCAAGGTCAGCCTAGATCACCATCCTGTCCTCGGGTGTGGACGCTTTTCCCCAAAGTTTGGTGTCATCAGCGAACTTGGCCAGTCTGCTTCTGACACTAATGTCCACATCATTAATTAAGATGTTGAAAAGGATAGGCCCAAGGACGGAGCCTTGGGGGACCCCACTGGTTACGGTGCACCACAATGATTGATTTCCGTCAACTACCACTCTCTGGGTCTGACCTCAAAGCCAATTCCCCAGCCAGCGGACTGTGATGTAGCCGAGGCCGCAGTTGGCCAGTTTTTCTATAAGATGATTAAGGGATACTAGATCGGAAGCTTTTTTAAAGTCAAGATATATGATGTCAATCTCTTCTCCCTTATCCAGGTGATATGTCACCTGGTTGTAGAAGGAGATGAGATTGGTCAGGCAAGACCTACCTGCAACAAACTTGTGCTGGCTGTCCTTCAAGAAGTTGCCTTCAGCCAGTTTATCAAGAACGGTCTCTTTGATGAATTTCTCCAAGATTTTCCCAGGGATGGAGGTCAGGCTGATGAGCCTGTAGTTCCCCGGATCTACTTTCCTCCCTTTCTTGAAAAGAGGCACCACACTGGCCTTCTTCTAACCTTCAGGCACTTCACCTGAGCACCAGTTCTCCAAGATCCATGCCAGTGGCCGAGCTAGGATGCTAGCCAGCTCCTTAAGTACCCTGGGGTTTAAGCTGCCTGGGGCAGCTGACTTGAAGGTCTCTCAAGGTGTGTCTTCACATGGCCAACCCTCACCCGGACTTCCCGGCCTTGTAGTGGGCATGGGCGTCCCATGGGACTGATGAAAGACTGATGCAAAGTACCTATTTAATAGGTTGGCTTTTTCCTGGGCGTCAGTTGTCAGTTGACCCATATGGTTTAGCAGGGGTCCAGTGTTACCCTTGCTTTTCCTCCGGCTCCCCACATATCTAAAAAAGGATTTTTTATTGTCCTTGATATGTGTAGCCAGTTGGAGTTCAGGCGAAGCCTTGGCTTTCCTCGTTCGCTCCCTACAGGTCCAGACCAGTGCAGAGTACTCCTCTTTTGGGGTGGATCATGGTCATTAAAGTATTTGTAGATTCATAGATTCATAGACATCAGGGCTGGAAGGGACCTCGGAAGATCATCGAGTCCAGCCCCCCGCCCAAAGGACAGGAAGTCAGCTGGGGTCATAGGATCCCAGCAAGATAAGCATCCAGTTTCATCTTGAAGGTGTTCAATGAAGGCGCTTGAACCACCTCCGGTGGCAGGCTGTTCCAGACCTTGGGGGCTCGGACAGTAAAGAAGTTCTTCCTTATGTCCAGCCTGAAACGGTCTTGAAGTAGTTTGTGACCATTCGACCTCGTCATCCCTTGGGGCGCTCTGGTGAACAAACGTTCCCCCAGATGCTGGTGGTCACCCCTGATAAACTTGTAGGTGGCCATCAGATCACCCCTGAGCCTGCGCTTTTTCAGGCTAAAGAGCCCCAGGGCTCTCAGCCTGTCATCGTAGGGTCTGCTTCCCTGACCTCTGATCATGCGCGTGGCTCTTCTCTGGACTCTCTCAAGCTTCTCCACATCCTTTTTGAATTGTGGAGCCCAAAACTGGACACAGTACTCCAGCTGCGGCCTCACTAAGGCCGAGTACAGGGGGAGAATGACGTCCCGGGATTTGCTTGAGAAGCATCTATGGATGCAAGCCAGCGTTTTGGTCGCTTTACTAGCCGCCGCATCGCATTGCAGGCTCATGTTCATCTTGTGGTCAATGATGACCCCCAAGTCTCTTTCTTCCATAGTGCTAGCCAACATAGCACTGCCGAGCCTATAAGGATGCTGCGGGTTTTTTTTCCCAAGGTGGAGAACCTTGCATTTATCGGCGTTGAACACCATCAGATTCTCGTCCGCCCACTTGCTGAGCCTGTCCAGGTCAGCCTGGATAACCTGCCTGTCTTCTGGTGTGGATGCTTTGCCCCAAAGTTTGGTGTCATCGGCGAACTTGGCCAGTTCTGATCGCTTCTGACTCCAGTGTCCACATCATTAATGAAGATGTTGAACAGTATGGGTCCAAGGACAGAGCCTTGGGGGACCCCACTGGTCACAGGACACCACGATGAGTGACTTCCATCGATTACTACCCTCTGGGTCCGACCCCGGAGCCAATTTTCCAGCCAGTGGATCGTGGAGGACCCAAGGCGACAATTGGCCAGTTTCTCCAAGAGGCGATCATGGGACACCAGATCGAAGGCTTTTTTGAAGTCAAGATATATGACATCAATCTCTTCTCCCTTGTCCAGGTGATAGGTCACCTGGTCGTAGAAGGAAATGAGATTGGTCAAGCAAGACCTACCCGCAACAAACCCGTGCTGGCTATCCCTTAAGATGTTGGCGTCGGCCAGTCCATTAAGGATGGCCTCTTTAATAAACTTTTCTAAGATCTTCCCCGGGATAGAAGTCAGGCTGATGGGCCTATAGTTAGCCGGATCCACTTTCCTCCCTTTCTTGAAGATAGGCACCACATTGGCCTTCTTCCAGTCTTCGGGCACTACACCAGAGCGCCAAGAGTTTTCAAAGATCCGTGCTAGAGGCTGGGCTATGATGCTCGCCAGCTCGTTGAGTACCCTGGGGTGGAGATTGTCAGGGCCAGCTGACTTGAAGGTATCCAGCTTCTCAAGATGTTCCTTCAGAAAGTCAGCATTAAGGGAGGGCAGGGGATCACCCTCACCCGGACTTCCCGGCCCTGTAGCGGGCATGGGCGTCCCATGGGACTGATGAAAGACTGACGCAAAGTACCTATTTAATAGGTTGGCTTTTTCCTGGGCGTCAGTTGTCAGTTGCCCCATCTGGCTCAGCAGGGGTCCAATGTTGCCTCTGCTTTTCCTCCGGCTCCCCACATATCTGAAAAAGGACTTCTTATTGTCCTTGATGCTCAAAGCTAGCTGGAGTTCAGTTGCAGCCTTGGCTTTCCTGGTCTGCTCCCTACAGGACCGGACCAGTGCAGAATAATCCTCCTTGGAGGTGACTCCCATCCTCCATCCTTTGTAGGCCTTTCTTTTTAGCCTCAGGAGATCTGCTAGGTCCCTGGAGAGCCAGGGGGGCTGCTGTGCCCTCTTGCTGCCTTTCCTCCGAGATGGAATAGACTTAGTTTGTGCATTGAGGATCGCTTCCTTGAGGAGCGACCACTCCTCTTGAACTCCCCTCTCCCTGTGGTCACGGTCCCTTAGGGCCTCACTGACAAGCCTCCTGAGCTTGTCAAAGTCGGCTTTCCTGAAGTCAAGAACTTGAGCGTTGCTGACCGACTTGCCAGCTTTTCGGCGGATGGTGAAGGTGATCAGCTCGTGGTCGCTGTCACCCAGCTTCCCATCGATCACTAGGTCGCCGACTAGGTCATCCCCAGTAGCCAGTACCAGGTCGAGCAGCGCTTCGCCTCTCGTTGGCCCATAGACTTCTTGAGTCAGGTAGAGGTCATCCACGCACGAGAGGAAGCTCTGCGACCGCTCAGATTTTGCTGAGCGATCCTCCCATGAGATGTCTGGGTAATTGAAGTCACCCATGACAACCATGGTCCTGGAGCAAGCTGCCTCAGCCAGTTCCTGGGCAAACTCCTGGTCAAGCTCAGGACTTTGGGTGGGAGGTCTGTAATAGACTCCCACCATTGTGTCCCCTGTGCCATGTTCCCCACGGATTTTAACCCAGAGGGTCTCCAGCCGTCCACCCTGGTCACCAATATCGGGTTGCAGGGACGTGTAGCTTTCCTTAACATAGAGAGCTACCCCTCCGCCCCTTTTCCCTTCTTGTAGCTGAAGGCCTTAACACCAGCCTTGCTGTGGGTGGCCTTGGACAAGCCACCTATGCCCCAATTATTTGTTTTTTGCATTACTGTAAGGCCTAAGACTTCCCATGCTGTGATACACTATACAAACATAAAACAGAAGCAGGCTAGTAACAATACTACTGTGTACTGCTGCTTATGAGGCCACTCATATGCTTACTATAACCACTTAGTGGTAGCTAAGTGGTTTTGCTGAATCAGAGCCTCAATTGCTCACTGCCTCAGTCTCCCTATTTGCAAAATGAGGGAACAGTGTCACTTCAACATGCAAATTGGAAACCTGGTAAGTGACTTGGTCATGGTCAGGTGGAAAATGAATGCTACAGACCAGTGGTGCCAAACATTTTTGCCCTGCAGTCTGGATGGGCAGTGGGGCCAGATCTGCGGCATAGGACAGGCGGTGCGTGGGCCCACTCCAACTGCATCGTGGGGGGTAAGCCTGGCCCCAATCTGGCCACATGGGGGGAGTAGTCTGGCTCCAATCCAGTTACACATGGGGGCCATTCTGGGAGAGTGTTTCTGAGGAAAAGTTTCTACCATATTCAATCAGGCTGTGCAGGGCATGGTAATTTGGCAGCAGGGAAGAAGTGGCACTATTAATTGCCACCACGCCCCTGCCAATCCATGGAGAACCTCACAGGCTGGATGCCAGGGCTCTGCAGGCCATAGCTGGCCTACAGGCCAGGCATTGAGCACCCCTGCTTAGACAAGTATTAGAGCCTGGAACCCCTTGCTCTTACCCTACCTGCCACTAATGGCTTGCATGATAAAGGATGAGGAGCCATCAATGAAGAATATATCATGGCAAGGTGAATGTTATTGGTGTTTGCCCTTCCTCTGTGAGCTCAGATGCGATCAGACAAGTGTTACTAAACAGTATTGCTGCTCTGACCATGTAACACGCAACCTTTTCCACCCACAAAAGACTCTAAACTCACCAGCTGAAATCTGTGCCCAAAACTCAGCCATTCCTTCTCCACAAGCACTTCAAATCCCCTTATTGTCCGATAGTAGCCATCCAACATGAGCATGGACAGAGAAGTGAGCTGGGCTGTTCGGTCCCAGCCGTCACTGCAGTGCACAGCCACGGACGTCTTCCCCGATTCCACCTTATCAGCAATCCGAAGGGCTCCAGCGAGAATTAGCTGGGACACAGAAAAGGCATTAAGGAAGTTTCCCTATATCATATGAACTATAAATGGAGTGCTGTGACACCTCTGGAGAAGGCAAGGGTCACATCTGCTCTATGGTTATAAAATGGTTATCACCCGCTTCAGTGAGGTTACAGTTGTAGGGCAGACATGACTTTGAAAGGCCCCTGTAGATTCCTGCAGCCAATTTCACAGCTGCTATCCTTGGGTAGTCCAGGGTTTAACCTACTTATTGGAGCACAATTAGGTCCCATCTACATGACAGTCATAATCCTGTTTTAACCATGTCAATTTTAACTGCTGCAGTCTGTTACAGTAACAGCTGTAGCATTCATGAGAGGAACTAAACTGGTTATATCTTACCCAGAAAGAAAGATATTGGCAAGTTAGGAAAAGTTCCTTATCACCCTATTGCCACTATAACGGCATAACTGCAGGCAGTCTGCCTGAATATGCTACATTTGCATATGCAGGTACTGTACTCAAATTTTACCAAAAACACTGATTGGAAGCACAACCCATTTCATGATGAATAACTGTGTTTGACTCCTCCCAAAAGGATGGCTTGTAACTTTCCATTTTAGACATTAAACTTTCCCAGACACTAAAGCCCCCAGATACCCTTACCTAATGCAGGTGTCTAACATACACCCATATCCAGAGATTATTTTCAGAGGAGGAGAAACCCTTTTTGATTTTCACAATGAAATGACAACCTATGATAAACATTGCAGGCCAAATCAAGCAAAAGTGTGCATGAAACTACTAGTTTCTAGGTCACAGAAACCAGGAAAGGATAAAAATGACTAAACAATTCATTCATTCCCTCCTATAAAAGAACAAAAATATATCTTCAGTCTAACCTCTACTGAACATTAAGTAAAACAGTAAAGAAAGGAAGATGCCATATGAATTTTCTGAGAAACAACAGGGTGTCTACACCACCTCCTGAGTGGGATCCGATCCGTTGCTGAGAAAGGTTCCATACGCTTGTCCCCAGCCAGCCATGAAAATCAGCAGCAAAGACAGCTCACAGCAGTCCTGGGGGTGCCCAAGTCAGAGCACCTTGGTACAGGGTCAGGGCATGTGCTTAAGATGACTGAGCCACCTGCTCTGCAAACTGGTGGGCCTGGATACAAGTGGGCAGGGCACATTTTCACAGCTGTGCTCCCTCACATGGTCAGAGGCAATAGAGAAACACCCACTGTGACTGGCCACACTGACCCCTTGCTGACTACAGTGGAACTCCTGGCAGTGTGGCTCTTATTTTGCAAGTCAAATACAAGGCATAAAACAGCAGCTTCCTTACAACTGTCCCAGGAGCAGACTGGATCCTCTACTTTTTATTAGGAAGACAGAGCAGACTAGAAGTGGTTTTCAGTAAGAGCACCAGTTCATAGCATCTGAAATATTTTGTCCAAAATGTCTTGGGTTTGCCAAACTTTTGGTGAACAAGGAAAGGCTCCCATACATCCCTGCCTGTATTCATGACAGGGTGTTGGGGGCCCCATGGCTGCCAGGGTCTGCAGCTCCAGGGTAGCCAGTCATGCCAGGTCTTCCCAGCCCAATGCTGCCAGTGCTGAGAGTCTGAAAGCCCTGGGAGCCTCAGCTAGAATTCAGCACTTGGCTCAAGCTTTGCACCAGGAAGCCTGGCAACACTGGGACCTTTGGTTTAACTGGGACTCTCATATTAACCATGGTCCATTCTGTGGAGCTGGGAATGTAAGCCCAGGGAGAAGTTTCCATTAGGTCTGTGTTCAGGGCAGGCTTGCTGTGTAGAATACCCCAGGCTGGGGCAGGGGGTCTTGACATCCAGCAGTCCCTGACCCAGGGCAGTCTGTGGCACTTGGCATATACTAGGAACGCTGGTCACTGCTGAGTGACACTAACATTCATACGAGTTTCCTGGCTGCTACTAGCTCTCAGCAGCTGTGAGGTCTCAAGAAACATGATACTCAGGAGCACCATGGTGAGGCCTTTCCTGAAGACTTTTGCTTTTTCAAAATTTCCAGGTCACATTATGGAATTCTGAGTTTGGTAAGATTTGGATGAAAACTGATTTAAAAATCTGATGATGGTCAGAAACTGGAAATCCTGCACTTTGGCCAGCTCTAGACACAGGACCCAGACAATTAATTGAATGGCACTTCTTTTCAATGACACGGATACATACACAATAGGTGCTAACTCGGATACATTTGATTGCCCACATGCACACCTTAATATGTTCTAACCAATGAGTTGATTCCAAGTTGGATAACCAATGAGTCTCCTCAATGTTAGGATATACTATCTCCTTCAATTTTCTCAATGATTCTCTCATAACATGAATGTTGTGAATGTCCAGGAAGACCAATTCTGCATTCTGATAGGCATCCTCGCTTTCATAGCCTCCTCCTTTAGCCTGAGGAAGAAAAACAAAACCCATAGGAAACCAAATATATTTTTCTTAATGATCGTTCAACCTGATGAAGGAGAATAATATTTTGATAAACAGTATCAAAATAAATTATCAAAAGGATAAACAGCAAAAAATAGATCCATATCATCTATTCAAATCCACACTCAAGAAAACAATTATTTTTGCCCAGTGTCTTAATATATTTTCCTTGCATAAACTGTTTCTCCTTAATAGTGTGTTTTGTGAAAAAAAAAGTAAAGAATACCCCACTGAAGGAGATTTCTTCATAATCATCATTTACACCCATTCAATTGTCAAGTTCATCAGAACCACAATTCTGCCCTCCAGCACCCTCATTATAGTATTATATAGGAAGTGCTGTATTTTCTCCATGGCTAATTGCCTTTTCAAAAATGGGGAGACATCGCTGGAAAAGGTCCAGAGCCCAGACAGCAAACTAATTCTGGCATGAAAACAAAGCTACACAATCTACTACATGCTATGTAGCAGCATTAGGGAAAAGGGCTACATTCTGAGTTATTCCACTGACAACTGAGATATCACAGGCTACCAAATATTCAGAAGTGACCCAGCTCAAAACCCCTAAGCTCCTATTTTCAAAAGTATTAAGCATTCACAGGCCCTGATAAAGTTAGAGGTTACAGAGAATGCTGAACACCTTGGAAAATCAGTCATGGCTCTGGGCACTGGAAACAGTGGTACCCCAAATCCAGGGTGCTAGAAATCCTGTTTTATATTGCTAAACATAGGCTGCCTGCAGATATTTAAAAAAATGCTTTACCAGAAGAAACAGCCCCTTCCTTCAACCTGGCTCTGTAGTGTCTGTAAAGATTGGGTGCTTCAGTGGGGCTTTTTTGTGCTTCTACCTACAGCTGATTCAATAAAAGCTATTAGATAAAAGTGCCAAAAAGGCCGCACTAAAGTGTATGATCTTTACATATGTTGGATGAGCTAAGCTGAAGTAACACGCTGCCTCTTCTGGGTATATGTGGGGCTCGGCATGGGAATGTGCCAAGTTTACAGTAAAGTGCTGTTTTGTTTTGTTTTCATCTGCAAGCACTCATAATGTCCCAACCAATATCTGTTCTTAAACCCTGATAGGCTTGATTATCTTTTCTTCCACTATAATCGTAGGCCATGATCCTACAATTGGGTTATGGCAGGTGAATGCTTCTGCTTCCCTGGAGGTCCAATGAAATTAAAATCAGACTCCATATAACAGCAAGAACCCACCTTCCCTCCCAGCCTCAGGAGTTAATGTTACAAGGTAATGGTAGGCTAACTCTGAATTTTATCATTCCCTGCTACCAACAAGGGAGAGAATGTCTAACCTTATTGGCAACAGCATTAACACTAGGCCTTGCATCAAATATGAAAATCTTATGGGACTGGGCATTGGAATCCATGATGGACTGAAGATACTTTTCATCATCTTTGCTTCGCTTCCCGCTCACTCCAACCATTGGCTGGCTGCAACGTGTGATTGTAGCTTGACTTTCTGGATGAATCCACGACAATACCTTTCACAAAAATTAGGAAAGAAAAGGAGAATTCAGTTAGGCATTACTTGACTCTGGGACTCTGCCTGGTATTTGATTTGGGGCCAGTGGTTTGGATCACATAAATCATGATGTAATTTAATTGACAGCACTATCCTGTATTTATTCTTTTTCCTTCATGAACTCCTAAAATTGGAACCAATGTAAAGATGTATGAACATGCTTAAACCTGACTCTTGGATGGAATACAGCTCGTTTCCCAGCTAATGTGGTGCCTTTCAACTCCATGAGTGATGCAGACCCACCTTCCCCCTGCCCCCAAGTTGACTCTCGCTTTATATTTCTCATCTAAACAGTTAACTTGTTGGGGGAAATTTATCTGTGTTTTACAGCTGCAAAGCAAACAGCATACTTTTGGTTACTATTAAAGACAATTACTACTCTATGCTTTATTTATAACCTGATATGAAGAGTCTTCATCAAGAGCTATGTATGACTTAAGTAAAAAGTATTCAGTTACTCCTTAAAAATAGGTCAGGAAAGACAAAAAACTGCAAATAAATTAGCAGGGTTTATTTTGTTACCTCAAAAATTAAACTGAATTACTGTCTGGCTTTAGCTGAATTATCTTATCTTTGCACTTTGGTTTAGTCTATGTCTCTTTCAAGACAGGAGTTTTGCCAGACAGTGCTGCCTTCTAAACTCCTCACAAAATGTCTTGCCTTTGTTTTTATAATCCATTAACTGTTTGTGTTGGTCTCCTGTCAACCTGATCTTGGCAATATTCATGGTACAACGGTATTTACAAAGCCACATCAGAGCTCCTCTCTGTCATACTCACTGGTATGCGACCCCTGGATCTAAAAGATGCCACTCTCTTCAATTCCTCATCTGGAATATTTACAGGCACAACAAGAGTGGCAGGATACGTATCACACAGCTCGTAGCGTTCATTTATCTTGGTCACTCTCCAGCTTTCATTGGGAATTCCCTGCACATGAAACAACAACAGTTTAGCAAATGAACTACTACAGTGTCCCTGTCCCAGGGAAAAGACACCAGAAGACTAGGATTTTGTCTCACTTGTCTTTAGAATGAGTTAGTGGAGTGTTTCCACCCCAAGAGAGGCAGTTGTTTAGATAAGGGAAATATAACTGTCCAACCCCTTGCACAAATGCTACTCCTGAATCATCCCTGTCCAATGCTTCTCTGGCCTGCTTCAAGGAATCTGCTTCACTGGAGATTTCACAAATTTGCTCAGCAGCTTATTCCAGTGCCGTAATATGCTAACAGTAAGAACATTTTCCTAGGATCCAATCTGAATCAACTTTGGTGCAATTTAAATCCATTGCTTTGCTCCTTCTGTCTGCAGCAAGTGGGGACAGTTGTCCTCCTTCTGGCACTCATCTTAAGCCTGGATGGTGCCAGAGTGCCCTCTCCAAATATATGCATCTCTTTAGTGAATGGGAACTGGGGCTGGGAAGCAAAGCTACCAGACAAGGTGGAGGGGAGACTAGATGAGAGAAAAGCACAAGAAAAGGTGAAAAATAAAGAAAAACAGAAGTTAAAAAAGAAGAGATCAGACTGTGTGTCGGGTCTCAACAACCAGTTCACCTCAACTGAGGGCTTCTCTTAACAAACCAAGAAGCATGAGTTTAGGGTGTCCACACACCATCTCCACTTTGGATGGTACATTCTGGGATCCAAGAGCACTTTTTCTGTAGTGCTCAGCATGATAGTCATGGAAACGCTATACAACAGTTCAAAATCTGAAAACTGAATAATATGAGGAACATTTTGTGTCACCTTGGCAGTGAGGTCAAGTTAACTATTTTGGATAACACTTTACTAGAATCGCATGATTATAAATGTATTGATCTAACTTATCTCGGGGATAGAAAAATATTCATTGTACACTTATGCTTGAATTCAATTAGGAAGGCAACTCAGTGACTGTGGGGCACCTTGTCATGCATCCACAGATGCATCTCAAGCAAGTCCAAGGAGGTGATCCTCCCCCTCTATGCGACACTGGTTAGGCCGCAGTTGGAGTACTGCGTCCAGTTCTGGGTGCCGCACTTCAGGAGGGATATGGACAGCACTGAGAGGGTCCAGAGGAGGGCCACCCACATGATCAGGGGGCAGCAGGGCAGGCCCTATGAGGAGAGGCTAAGGGACCTGAACCTGTTCAGCCTCCACAAGAGAAGGCTGAGGGGGGATCTAGTGGCCTGTTACAAACTAGTCAGGGGGGACCAGCAGGCATTGGGGGAGTCCCTGTTCCCCCGAGCACTACCAGGAGTGACTAGAAATAACAGTCACAAGCTGGCAGAGGGTAGATTTAGACTAGACATTAGGAGGCACTACTTCACTGTCAGGGCAGCTAGGATCTGGAACCAACTTCCAAGAGAAGCGGTGCTGGCTCCTACCCTGGGGGTCTTTAAGAGGAGGCTAGATGAACACCTTGCTGGGGTTGTTTGACCCCAGTGCTCTTTCCTGCCATGGCAGGGGGTCGGACT